TGACCATTCTACAATGCCCTGAGCTTAAAGAGCCTTCTGTTGGGTCAAAAAGGGCATGCCACCATTTATTTGTGGTTCCCTTTGAACTCCTACCAATGTTATTTAAAAACAAAACCAAAAAAAGACTGCCAAGAATCTAGGTAAAGCAATAAAAAGTTGGCAAACACAATTTCCCTTAAACAGAGAAATACAATATGTGCATTGTAGGAACAGTAGGCACCAATCATGTGGAATAATTAATAGGTCTCGGGCACAGATTACTCAACCTGACTGAATCTGCCCCTCTGTTAGGGCTTAAGAGAAATGGAGGAAGAAGTAAGCAGCTCCTGAACCAGCAAAACCAACAGGCAAGGGAGCAGCGTAGCCTGGCGGCTGCACAGACACTCCACACACAAGCACATGGGATGAGGTGCCTCCCTCAGCACCAGGTGAGACCCCTCCTCCTTCCTCCGAACCACCAGCAGCCAGTCTTCCTCTCTATCACCACCTGCAGTGGCCAAGTAAACGCCTACGCCTTACATTGTATTCCAGCCAGAAGGCCACTGAAACTCCCCCAGCTGCCTGGAACACAGGAGGCTTGAAGGAGCAAGGACGAAGAATCACCCCCTATTAAGGGAGCCTGAATCCTGTCTCTAAATACCAATGTTCTAAAGATGCCCTGAAGAATAAGAGTAAAACTTCAAGTTGTAAGAGCAGTGTTTCAAAGCATGTATCCAAAACACAGTTTTCTGGGGCCTGGGGGCATTAATTCCAAACTACGCATGTCCCAGACCTACCTACTGAACCAACGCTCAGTGGGTGGAGCTCGGCATGAGCATTTTAGAAAAGAGCCTCGGGTCATTCTGAAGGGCGCCTCTGGTTAGGAACTACTACCTTAGAGCATCTCAGAGGAAAGATTCAACGTTCCTACAAAAAGCAACCACTCTGAGTTGTCACTGACTGTTCCCCTCCCCTGCTGCTAAGCGCCCAAAGCGTGACAGGTGAGCAAGGCGGCGAGGCAGGCAAGCGGGACCCTGAGGTTGAGAAGGCCTGGGTTCAAATATTGTGTTCATACCAACAGACGGCTCCTTCCACCCTGCTCTTCTGAACCCTACAATCAACGTTTTCCCCATCCACAAAAAAAGGAAAATAAAAGTCTGAGTGATCCCCTTGTTGGCTATCTATTGACCTTCTGCATTTATCCCGCAAATATTTAATGAGCGCAAACCACACTTGAGGCACATTACTGGATGCAAAAAAAAAAACAAAAAAAAAAAAACGAGGAGTAAATAGACAAAGCCTTTCCCTCACAGGGCTCATGATCTGGTTGGAAAGATAGACAATAAATAAATAAACTAATGAACTATTTAAAATAGTGATCAGAGCTACACTTGTGATGAGAATAATAAAGGGAGGGGACCACCTACTTGGATGTTCTCTGGTGACTTCAAGTCTCTTAAAGGAGGGAAATGAAAGCAGGAGAGATGCTCTCCTACTGGCCTTAAAGAAGTCACAGCCTGGGTGTGAACTGCAGACCTGAGGGTCTCACTTCCACCGTTAACCATAGGGAACTGAACATCATGATCATCTAAACAGGCTTGGGAGAGGATCTGCAGGAGCGCCAGGTGAGAACACAGCTTGGCTAACACCTTGAACGTAGCTCATGAGACCCTGAGCAGACGACCCAGCCAAGCCGTGCCTAGACTGCTATCCCTTGGAAACTGTGAGATAATACATTTGTGGCAATTTGCTACACAGCAGAGAAAGTTAAATCAGAGGTGAAGGAGCCAGCCAGATAAAGGGCAAGCGGAAGGACCTCCTAGCAGTGAAAACCACGTGTAAAAAGAGAAAAAGGCTGCATGTTCTATAAATTACCAGAAGGCCATCGAAGCTAGAAAGAGTTAGGTTCAGAGGGAGGATGAGGATGAGGCTACAGTGGTGGCCAGTGGCCAGACCATTCCGTCTGTTCTACAGAGAGCAGGTTACGAAAGGGGAAGGTTGGAATTGGGAGACCAGTTGTGGGGCTAGAAATGGTGGGAGTTCAGTGGAGGTAGAAGCAAGAGAAATGTCCAGAAGGACATGGATATGAGATATGCAGTACAACCTGCCGATAGGCTGGAACTGGGGATTGAGGGAGAGACAGGAATCGAGGCGTGCATCTGAGTGGACTAGGATGCCGCCAACCAAAAGGAAATCACCTCTGGGAACAAACCATTTTAGATGTGCTATATTTAAGAACTGTGGAGATGTCAAGTATAAAGCTGGCTATCTCATCTGGAGATCAGATGGGACCAGCTTAGGCTGAAGAAATAAACATCGGGATTATTTCCACCCAGAGCCACTATTCCACTTTAACAAATCCTTTCAGTTCAGTCCCTGGAGCACCAGAACTATGAGAAATAAATTTCTGTTTATAAGCCACCTAGTCTATGTTGTTTTGCTACAGCAGCCTGAAAGGGGATACAAAGGGCTATAAAACCCATACACAGGGGGAAAAGGGAGTGGGAAGGGATAAACTGGGAGCTCAAGATTTGTAGATACTAACTACTATATATAAAATAAACAACAAGTTTCTTCTGTATAGCACAGGGAACTATATTCAGTATTTTGTAGTAACTTATGGTTAAAAGAATATGAAAACGAAAAAAAAACCCATACAATTTAAATTTAAAAAATAAACAGAAGTTTTCCTATCTTAAAACCTCAAATAAACCTACTTTAGATTTTCTGCACTATTGTAAGAGGCATTCTGACACCTAAATTTCTGATGTACTCAGATGAAGGAGAATCAGTGTTATAATTAATTTTTGTTTCCATTAAAATGACTTTAATGTGAACAATCCTTGTTTTCACAGGCATACCTCGGAGATATTGTGGGTTCGGTTCCAGACCATGGCAGTGAAGCCTATATCACAATAAAGTGAGTTACATGAATTTTTTGGTTTCCCAGTGCATATTAGTTATATTTACACTATCCTGTGGTCTATTAAGTGTGCAGTAGCACTGTCTTAAAAAAGTATATTCTGAATAAAAAACACTTTATTGCTAAAAAATGCATCATCATCTGACAATGGAGGATTGCCACAAACCTACGATTTGTAAACAGTGCAGTTATCTGCAAAGTGCAGTAAAACGAGGTATGCCTGTATTTAAAACTTTAGATTGCCACTCCATGATGCGAAAAAAATTAGAAATGTATTCAACAAGGAAGAAATGATTAAATAACCACCGATATATCCAGATCATCATGTAGCCATTAAAAAATTATGACTTTGAAGACTTTTAAAACATAGGAAATGATTATGCTTTATTAAATTAAAAAATGTATAAAGTTATAGGCATAAAGCGTAATTCAACATTTGTGGGACTATATGCTTGGGTTTCTGTTCTTACAGAAACACAAAATTTACAGCATAGAAAAAAGACTAAGAAATTATAACAAAGTAGTGATACTGGTTATCTTTGGTATTGGAAATAAAAGTAATTTTAATTTTTGTTACATATTTCTCCACAATTTTTTTAAAGTGGACAAATACTACCTTTATTGTAAAGAATTAGGAAATATTCTTTTCAGAAAGACCCACTTTTTACAGGCCATTGGCTTCTTACACTTACCCGGCTCTTCTCTTTTTTGTGTTCCTGATGTAGAGCCTGCACTCGGGCTGTCCACTTGCTTTCCTAGGAAACAGGAAAACGAGAAATTTACGTGCAACTGTAACAATGATATCTACTCAAAATGAAAGCTTCCTTTTTAGTGAGCACCTATGAAACCCAACTATTTATTGGGTAAAATTTTAGCAGGCATTTTAAAAAAAATATAAATACAGTCAGAAATGTTTAAACACATTTGCACTTGGTTTTAATCTTATACTCTGAGGCAGCGGTCAGCAAACATTTTCAGAAATGTTAAGGGACCAACAGTAAGCACATTAGGCCCTGGGGTGAGATGATTGAGCCACTCCTACTAGCAGGAGAACAGCCATAGACAATACATTCTAGTGTGGCTGTGCTCCAGTAAAACCTAAATTAAACAAAATGAGTGTTGGCTTGCCAACCTAAGAAGCTAGAAGGTTTCTGAGCCCATGGGGTCTGAAACTCACAGAGCTTATAGGACAGAGACAGAAGAAATTTAGGTGAGATCTGAGGATTTCATAATTGAGTCCTTCACCTCACGAGAGAGCAGCCTTCTGGGAGCAACTGCCAACAGCTCAGCTCAGGACACAGTTCCTGGTCCCCTCCTGAGTACCAGGCTCCTCACTGGGCAGCCCCTGGCAGGCTGGGAGAGAACTCAGACGGGCCTTGCCCTGTCCAGGAGGAAAGTTGGCACAACAATGGAGGGTTCCCACGTGATGTGTAAGTGGCCAGGTCCTGCCTGGAGGACTACAGTAATGCAATAACCCAGAGGTCCAGGAGAACCCTCTAGAAGAGGTGCCGTCCCAGCTGAATGAGCAAGTGACAGGTCCTAAAAACTGGGAGGTGGTGACAAAGATGGCCACATCCCAGGAACCGTGACTGGTTTGGTGCTGCCAGAGTGTCGCAGTAAAGCCAAGGATGGTGGAGGGGGTTGGGGTGGGGTGGCAGGGCCCGGATCCTCAGGGACTCTGAATGCTGGTTAAGGGTTCAAGACTTTGTTCTGTGAAAAAGAGGGAGCCGTTGAAGGATTTTAGACAGGATAGTGACGTGGGCAGCCTGGCTGCAACACGAAAGGTAGAAGAGGGGGAGAGAGGCAAGACCAGCAGCAGTGGTAGTAGTCTGTATGCAAAAACACTTACTTTTAAAAATAACATAATATTGCTTTTAAAAAAAAGTCCTGAACTCATAAGCTTATGAAACTCTATTTGGTTCCTGGCTTTAAAAAAATTCCCCTAAAACAGTGTGACTAAAATAGCCAGGATAAAGGCTGTACTGTTTACTGAGGTTCACTTCCAGATAATTGCAATTACATTTGACAAATGTAAAAGATCATCAGTTCACCAATGCAGCTGTATATTTAAGCTCTCAAAAAAGGTCAGTGCTTCAGTGTGCCATTCTATGCCTTTTGAAAGTGAGCAACATCTGAAATATGAAAAATAAATACTAAGGTAATGGGAACCAATTCGAATAGGTATTCAAGGCAAAGTTAAACAACTTTGCCAAACTGTTCTGTATCCACATCAGTCAGCAACTATCTAATGAACACACACCTATTATGAATTACATACTGGAAACTAATACAACGTTATAAATCAACTAGCCTTCAATTTAAGAAGGAGAGAAGGGAAAAAAAAGACTTAGTTACCTACGCCGTCACTGAAAGAGACACTCTTCCCGTAGATGATGCTTCCTGTAGGTTTTCACTAAGAGAGATTAGGCCTCTACTGCAGTGATCACGCACTTTTACCTACCTGACTGTCAAGAAGTTGCATCACATTTTGGAAATCCTGGGGACACTGAGGACGTTCTTCTTTAAACTCATGTGCATCTTTTAACGTGCCTATGTTAGACTTAATCTGCATATTGGACTTCTGGATTTCTGACAATTGCTGTAAAATAAAATTCAAAATCACTGGCATGAATGTTCATAGCTTTATGAAACTGAAAAAGAACACAAAATTGGAGCACATCTGACTTTCCTCCCGGACTGTCATCCTGTTTCTCCTTCCCAGCGGTTTCCCTGTTTCATTTCTTCCAACAGAAGAATGCACACAGGGTGAAAAAGGGAAAGGAGAACCCAAGTTTCTAATCTTGGACAATGGGGCTTTACAAATGTGGTGGGGATGTCCCGGTCACCAGAAACAGAGGAACTGGGTATAGCTCATTCTCAGGATAATTTAGTGACAAGGTCAGCATCATCCAGAGACCACTAGGGACAAAACATTTTAACTTTCTTTGCTTGTATGTTATTCCCAAAGAGACAGTCAGTAAATACCCTCAGAAAAGCACAGAAGGTAATTTGTTAACTTCAAAAACAAAAGGATGAGGGAGCACAGTAAGTCTCCACCACTTACGTCCAGGCTGCACACGGAGACTTCCTTTCAAAGAGCACAGTATGGAGAGGGGCGGGGAGGATGGGGGAGTAGCTTTCAGTGGAGAAACCTGACAACCGCCACCTCAGCCAGGTGGTCAAGGGCAACGTCAGCAGTCATACATCACATACATGGTGTGTGCCCTTGACACGATGTGAGGAAAACTGTATTTTAACTCTGAGGACGTCTTCCCCCAAACTCATAAACCCAGCCTAACTATAAGAATATCAGATAAATTCCAATAGAGGGGGCATCCTACAATACACCTGACAGGTCCACCTGGAAATTGTCAAGGTCATCAGAAACAAGTCTGAGAAACCATTCCAGACAAGACGAGCCTAAGGAGACACGGCAGCTAAATGTACTTGGGTATCCTGGATAGAATCGTGGGACAGAAAAAAAAGCTACGTAAAAGCTAAAGAAATCGGAATGAAGCATGGACTTAGTTAATACTACTGTGTCAGCATTGGTTCGTTAATTGTAACAAGTGTACCATACTTATTTAAGACATTGGTCATATGGAAAACTGTGCACAGAGTAGAAGAGGGGGATTTACATGGAACTTTCTGTACTGTTGGCTCAATTTTTCTGTAAACCTGATACTATTCTAAAAAATAAAGTCTATCATTAATAACAATTTTTAAAACCGTCTTTGCTGAAAAGAGGAAACAGCCCATATGTTCATCAACTGATGAATGGATAAATAAAATATGGTATAACCATACAATGGAAAATCATTCCGCAATTTAAAAAAATGAAATACTGATACATACTACAATGTGGATTAATCCTGAAAACATAATGATAAGTGAAAGAAGCCATCCATAAAAGGTCGCATATCGTATGGTTCAATTTATATGAGATGTCCCGAACAGGCAGACCCATAGAGACAGAAGGCAGGGCTGTGGTTGCCAGGGTTGGGGAGGCAGTGCCAATGCGTACAAGGTACCTCCTTTGGGTGATGAAATGTCCTAAAATGACTGATGATGGCTGCATAACTCTGTGAATGCAGTAAAAAAAAAACCACTGAACTGTACACTTTAAGTGGGTGAATTGTATGGAATGTAAACTATATCACAATAAAGCTGTTTTTTTTCTTTAAAGATACAGAGAGTGAAAAAAAGTCCTATGTGGGGAAAAGTCCAATTCCACTATGATTCTGAGGGCAGGGATAACCATGGAGGGAATCTCAGGCAAAAGAACTGTAATTGGCAGTTTTATCACAAGGGGAAAAAATGATTGTGGGCTGGATGGAAAAGACATAAGCCAGCCTTTAATTGGTTAGTATCAAAATCCATTACTGTGGGTAATGTGACATCCCACTTTGAGAAGGGGCCACAGGTGTGAGTTCAGGAGAAGCCCCTGGAACAGGGGTGGTAAAATAACTACTGCCTAAGGGTTCTGATGCTTAGAACCAAGAGAAATGATATGGGGATAATGGAACCAACAAGGAGTTGCCTGAAGGAAGCCCTACAGAAAAGATACAATGAGCCATCTCAAGTTAACTTCCCCTCAACTTTTTACTTGCAAATTATAATTTATGGAAAAGTTGAAAGAATATTACACCCATTTCACCTTCATCAATTGTTAATCTTGTAACATATTTGCTTTATAAAGATATGACAGCGGATAGCAACTTTTCCTGTAAAGATCCAGACAGTATTTTGACTTTGGGAGATACATAAGGTCTTGGTCACAATCACTCAACTCTATGGCTCCAGCAGAAAGTTCCGTATAAAGATAAAGCTTAGAGGAAAGAGCATGGTTGTGTTCCAAGAAAACTTCACTTATGGACACTGAAAGGTGAACTTCAGACAATTTTCATGTGTCGTGAAATATTTTTTCTCTTGACTTTTTTCAACCACTTAAAAGTATAAAAACCTTTCATAGCTCGAGTACCATACAAAAGCAGGTAGTTTGCCAGATTTGGGTCACAGGTCATACTTTGCAGATCCCTGTGATAGAGTTCAGGACGTTTTAGAGAAGGATCTTAGCAATATTCCAAAACCATCCCTCTATCTTACTTTGTGAAACATGTTGGCCCCTAGAGGGAGCTCAAGAATCTTCCCTCATCTCCCTTGCTTCTCTGTGTGACCCAGGATGCTCCCACAGGAAAGGGATCACATTTAGCTACATCCAGCTCACTCAAACCCCCTTCCTCCTCACCAGCCAGGCCTGGGGGGAGGAAGGGGCCTGGCAAAGGTTCTCTGTCCTTCTGAGTTGGCTTCCTTCTCCTTCAACATTGGTGATTTATGTCAGCCTTTCTGGAAAGTTCCTTTGGAACTTTGGAATGTTCTAACACAAGGGGAGGTTTATGGTTTTGGTCTGTCTAAACCTAACCAGCTAAGAAAGATCCTCTCTGATCCAACCAAATGTACCAAGTGTTCAGCACTGGGTTTGGGGCCAAAACTCCCGCTCTCCAGGGAACGACTTTCTGACTTACTATTTTCCATATGCCTCAAGCTCCCGAGACTCTCAAGGAGGAGGGGTATCTGGGCCAGGGCACAAAAGGAACTTCTGGATTCACAGGCCACACTGCCATTCTCACGCCGCCGCCCAAGGCCACAACTCTGTCAATGCTCTGAGGACTCCTAGGTTGGATACTTACATATTCCAATGCTGAATTCTTGGAAGTCAGTTCTTTAAACTCCTTCATAAACATTTCCTTGACTTTTTCCATTTCATCAACTAGTTTCTCCTTTTCTTCTTCTTTCCATCTATCGAATAACTTCAGAAATTCTTCCTCTTTTGTTTTCTGCATTTCATACTCCTGAAATTGATTTTAATACATGACTTTAAAAGCTCTGATAGGAATCAAGTGTGCAGAAGTTTAAATAAATGGACATAGCTTCACTTCAAATGAGTCAGCTACTCTTGCATATTTCAATTAGGCTTTTTGTTTGTTTGTTTTTTTGCAAAACACTTCATATAATGGCAGGTCTATGTACAATAATTTTTCCAAACCAGAGGCAGCACACAGCATCCTTTTGTCCTTGCATCCCTTTAAATACAAAGAGGCCCAAAGTCTCAAAAAGTTCTATAATCTGTGAACTTGTAGAGTAGACATACAATCGTGTGTAAAATGTAAACATACTTCAAAAATCTATTGAGAAGAACCTTTCTTGATACCATACCAATTTGGGTGGAGTAGCCCTACCTCAGCCCCATTAAACACAAACGCATTTTATATAAGCTAAATTCAAGGTCTAGTCAATCAGCCTTTGATTTCTTCACAACCTTCAGTGTTTGTTTGTTTTTGAACCTAACTGGAGACCTCAACAAACTCCACCTAATAAACACACAGAACACTGCACCTAGCAACAGCAAAATATATATTCTTGTTAAATGTACATGGAAGGTTCACCAAGACAGACTATATGTTAGGCCATAAAATGATTCTCACTAAATTTTAAAAGATTGAAATCATGCAAAGTATCTTCTCCAACAACAGAATAAGGCCAGAAATCATTAACAGAAAGAAAACTGGAAAATTCACATATACATGAAAATTAAACAATATACTCTTAAACAACCAATAGGTCAAAGAAAAACTCACTAGGGAAATACAGAAATACTTTGGGATGAATAAAAATTAAAACAAACATACCAAAAAAGGGAAGCAGACAAATCAGTGCTAAAAGGGAAATTTATAACTGTAAGAGCCTACATTAAAAAAGAAAGTTCTCAGGGGTGGGTATAGCTCAGTGGTAGAGCGCATGTTTAGCACACAGAAGGTCCTGAGTTCAATCCCCAATTTTTAAAAATCCTCTAATTTTTTAAAAAAAAGTAACCAAAAACATTTAAAAAAAGAAAGTTCTCAAGAGACAAAAAGGTCATTATATAAAGACAAAGGGGTCAACTCATCAAGAAGTTCTAACAATTGTAAATATATATGCATCGAATATTGGAGAAACTAAATACATAGGAGAAATAAACAGCAATACAATAATAGCGGGGGATTTTAACACCTTACTCTCAACAATGGATCTTCCAGACAAAAAATCAATAAGGAAACACAGGACACTTGAGCAACATTATAGACCAAATGGACCTAACAGACGTATACAGAACATCCTATCCAGTAACGGCAGATTACAAATCCTTCTAAAGCATGTACAGAACATTCTTTAGGAGAGATCATATGTCAGGTCATAAAACAAGTCTTAACAAATTCAAGAAGGCTGAAATTATATCAAGTATCTTTTCTGACCACAATGTTACGAAACTAGACATCAGAAACAGAAAGAAAAATTTGAAAATTCACAAACATATGCAGATTAAACAACACACTCCTGAACAACCAATGGATCAAAGAAAAAAATCAAAAGGGGAACCAAAAATATCTTGAGACAAATGAAAATGGAAACACAACATGCCAAAACTTACGGGATGCAGCAAAAGCAGTTCTAAGAGGAAAGTTTACAGCTATAAATGCCTAAATTAAGAAAAAAGAAAGATCTCAAATAAGCAATGTAATATTACACCTCAATGAGCTAGAAAGGAGAATAAACTAAGCCCTAATTAGCAGAAGGAAGGAAATAATAAAGATTAGAGCTGAAATAAATGAACTACAGGACAAGAAAACAATAGAAAAGATAACAAATAACTAAGAGTTGGTTTTTTGAAAAGATAAAATTGACAAACCTTTAGCTAGACTAACCAAGAAAAGAAAGAGAACTCAAAGTTACAAATGAAAGAGGGGACATTACAACTGATACCACAGAATTCCAAAGGATCATGATAGCCTACTATGATCAATTACATGCCAACAAACTGGACAATCTAGAAGAAATGGATAAATTCCTAGAGACATACAACATACCAAGACTGAATCATGAAGAAAAAGAAAATCTGAACAGACCAAGAATGAGTAATGGGGTTGAATCAGTAATCAAAAAACTCCCAACAAAGAAAAGCTCAAGATTGCATGGCTTTGCTGGTGAGTTCTACCGAACATTTAAAAGGACTGAAAGCCAATCCTTCCCAACAGACCATCGGTTCGGAATTTGGTACCATACCTTAGAGAACCGGACCGCGTGGGCGTGCTGCGCAGCCTCTAGCTGAGACTTGGTGAGCTGCAGCTGCTCCTTCAACATGTCAATCTCATTCTGGAGCTTATCAGTCTGCACCCTTTTCTTATACTCCGCTGCAACAGAAATATCTCGTTAACATACCATCTCTTAGGAAACCTACCTGAAAACTTAAGGGGTGCAGTTCTATTGATCAAAGACAAAGGAAACTGCTCTAACTGCTCTATTACTTTTTTTCATGCCCCATGAATCAACTTTTACTCTTTACTGTTTACTTTCAGCCCGTCATATTATTGGGTGCTGAATTATTTTTAGCAGATTCTTTCAGCCACTGTGCTGAGACTGGATTCTCCTACAGAGACAAGGTGAGAGCCCATTCACAGAGCAAAAATGGTGACAAGAATCATCCTAGGCTCTTCTTTGAGATGCCTGTCTCAGTCAGAGAAGGGAGGCAACAGCTTCCACTGCGGGTACCACGATATTGAAATCTCTATGGTCACTATCCTTCTGGCTCCCACTGAACTCTCCTGAGAACCCCATCAGTGCTAAGACAAGCAGAGGCTAGCATTCAAAATACAAACTTGGGCCATAACCTGTCCCTGGGGCAAAAATGAGCTACTGAAAAGTTGTAAAAGGAAGCAACAAGTGAAGGGAAGAATACTTATGTACATGTACTTACATGCAGATGTACACATGACTGAATGGATATACATGTGTCTGTGAGTGTAGACATGAAAGGTATGGAAACCAAAGTAGAAAGTCAGAACCTCAAAGATGACCTGAAGAAATAATACTCATTTCAGAGTCTGAAATACTCTCTGAAACGAGTATGAGATAGAATAAGATACTGAAACAGAAGAGAAAGAAGGTCAGTTTCACACTGAAGAATGATAGATTAATTAAAATATTTAATCTTCCCAATTTCTCCAATATACTACTAAACTGTATCAGAGGTCCATGGTTTATAAATGGAGTTTTACGCTGTTCATACTGTTTATACAAAGCGTAGCTGTTTCCTAAATAAATCTATTTATCTGAATAGGAAGGAATGGAAACAGATTAGTCCAAAAGGGAGAGGAAAGCAGGTACTGAGTAACAGTCTAGAAATACACACACACTAGAAATACACTGAAAATATTTAAAAATCATGATGAGAATTTCTGTGGATCACTGTGGCAATCTGCAGAATGCTTTGATCTGCTCATGGAGAAACAGATCGTTGCTTTTTGAAAACATTTAAATAGTAGGAAACTATTGGTAAGCCACAGAGCCCCTCCCCTCTCCTGCTTCTTCAGTTCTCTCCTCTATACACTGGTTAACTCACATCGGTACCCAGGCTCATCTTAGTATCTGCCACATCAAACAAGACAAAAGTTTTCCCTTGGTCCCACATTTCCCTCCAAGTAATGCCTCCTATCTCTGCTTTCCCTCCCAGCAAACGTTACTGAAATAAATGTCTGTAATCACATGACCACTTCCTCACCCGATTCTCAGCTCAGGTCACTCCAGTCTAGCTTTCGTCCCCAATTCCCTGAAGCTGCTATGTCAAGGTCACCAACAGCCATCATGACAACAATGGTCAATTCTAGGTCTTCATCTTACTCTGTGCCTCAAGATCATTTGATATAACTGACCACTGCCTTCTTCCTGAAACACTTATGCCCTTTGGTTTCCATGACAACACACTTCCCAGCTTCCCTCCTACCTCCCATCACTGCGATTTCTCCCTCTCCTCAGCTGCTCCTCCTGAGCTCCTAGTGTGGGGCTGGCCCTGAGCCACCTTCCCTTCCCTTTGCAGGTGATCTCATTGGCCCAGCTCTGCCAATCACTCCCAGCTTTTACTTCCAGACCTCCAGCATCTCTACCTCCATAGCGACTGTATGTGTGGCTTCAGTGTACCCACAGCCAACACAAACTCTTCAATCTCCCTCCTCCCTCAGTCTTCTCCCCTCCTACTCCCCATCTCAGTAAACATCACCATCATTTACCCAACTGTACAGGACAAAAGCCCAGGATCGTCTTTGCTTCATCTCTTGCTCTCATGTTGAGTCACATTTCTGTGGGCTCTGTGTCCACAATAAATCCTCTCCATCTCTACTTCTCCCCCCTCCCCGGCTACCAACCTGGTCAAGCTGCCACCTGCTCTCACCTGGGCTACTCATACAGCCTCCTCACTCCCCCACCTGCTTCCAACACTGCTCCAATAGTCTGTTCTCTGCCCGCAGCTGGAGGGGTCATTTTGGGTACAAATTAGCTCATGCCCTCCCTCCTTAAAATCCTCCAGTGGCTTCCCATTATGCTTATAAAAAAAACCCCACATTTCTGCCCAGGTCATTTAAGGCCCCCATGACCATGCCTTTCCTAACCCACCACTACCTTGCTCACTCTGCTCTGCAGCCTCCTATCTATTCTCTCTCCTCCTCACACCCCTCACAGTGTGAGATTCCCTTGCCTGGGATATTCATTTCCCAGATTTTCCCCAGGCTGGGACCTCCTCATCATTCTGGTCTGTGATCAAACATCTCCTTAACGAGGTCTTGGCTGACCACCAGGATTCACTCTCCATCCCCTTCTTCTGCTTTATTTCTTCACTGCATTTGCCACCACTTGAAAAGAATCATTCATTCATTTGTGTCAATGTGAATCCTTCACCCTTCCCACTAGTATATAAGAGAGCTGGACGTGGTCTGTTTTGTTCCCAGCTCTCTCCCCAACCCCTGATACGGTGCATGGCACATAGTAGGCACATATTTACTTAGTGAATGACCAAAGACTAGGATGCTTTCTTTTAAAAGGATTGAGAGAGGCACTGGACCATGTCTCACTGAAAAAAAAAAGATACCAGACAGTAAATAGCTCTTGGAAGTGGAGCTCATGACTTACCAAGGTGAGACTCTTCGGGGTGGCGGCGCTGAATATGACTTTGTAGAAAAGCTTGATTCGTAAAGGCCTTGTCACATAAATGGCACTGAAAGGGAGAGAGCAGCACATCCAAGTGTCTGTGACAAGTGCCCTTCCACCTAATTTGAATTAAAATTTGGGTACCTGAAGCACTGCCCTCTTGGGAAATTTCCGCCCAGAGATACCATTCCAGCAAGTACTACTGAAAGCATGACTAAAAAGACATATAAAACCAGGGTGTTCTTCCCAAACTGAACGCAGGGCAGTGAAAACCATCTCTTGATGGATCAAGTAGCCCGTCATGGTGGTTTCGGGAACCCCTGATTGCTGCCCCCCTAGACTGCTGGTTCCCAGCCGGTCACCACCAACTTGCTCATGGCACTCCAGCCATGCTGGCTTTCTTCCTGTGCCTCAAGCAGGCCAGCTTTAGACTCTTTACATTAGCTGGTTCCCTGCCCGAATCCTCCCCAGACCCTCGCATGACTGGCTCCTTCTTGATGTTCAAGACGTCATTTACAGAGCATCTTCCACGCTGGGGCGGAGCAGCATGTCCTCAACAAATCTTCCCAGATGATCCTCCCGCCAGTCACTGTCCCATCACACTGTCTCATTTTCATCATTGTACATCTCACCAGTTAATACTTTCAGGCTTATTTACTCTACTTGCTTCTTGTCTCCTGCCCAATCCCTCTAGGTTCGAAAATGTCAGCTTCTTGAGAGCACGGACTTGTCTCTCTTATTCATAGCTTTATCCCCACAGCCCAGCATTAATAAATCACTGAGCACATGCTTTAGAAATAGTTGGCCTCCTAAAATGAATTTACTGAAAAAAAGAAAAATCAGTCCTATCAACATCTCTATTCTCCACTTTAACACATTCAGCTTTTAGGCAAAGAATTCAACTTGTTTCATCTACATCCTCCCCTCTGGATTACTCTGAAGTAAATCTTGGATATTATATATTTCATTTGTCAATATTTCAGAACCTAGCTCCAAAGGGACTTTCTTTTAATATAATCATAATATTATTATTCCACCTTTTAAAATGAGGAAATTCCTTAATTATCAACAAATATACAACCATTTACTTTTTTCTAATACTCCACACATTGTCTTAGAAAACATTTTTTACAGTTTGTTTTGAATCAGAATCCAAATAAGGTCATTGTTGTGTCTCTTAACTCTCTTTATTCTACAGCTACCCCTCCAGCTCTCTTTTCTTTATAATTCTTTTGCTGAAAAACTGAACATTTGTCCTGCAGAGTTTCTCTCAGACTGGATTTTGCTGTTTCATCTGTATTTACATGTTCTTCTATTCATGGTTTGCCTTACTCTTAATCAGTATAATTGCATCAAAACTTCAGGTTCTAGTTTCCCAGAAAACTAACATTATGGCATATTTCTCAGCATTACATTTCAGAGGATCTTTAAAGCATCTTTTACACCTTCTCTGCCCATGATGACTGCTCTGGTTTCCTCTCAAAACTTCAGGGGCTGCCCACACTGACTCAGATGTGAGTATGGCTCAAGAGCCATGCACAGCACTGGAGAAAGGAAAGGATGAGGAAACCCAGAAAGTGTAACTTTTTATCTCTTAAAATAGAAAACATGTATTTTTAACTACTGGAATAATACAGAAGAGCCATGAGCTCAAAGTAAGAAGGTGTTCCTACTCCAAAAAGAAAAGACCGACATTTTGACTACATCGAAATAAAAAACTTCCATGACAAAAAACACCAAAACAAAGCTGAGACTTCCGGTTTCTGGATCTACACATAAGGAGCTTGAAAATCACCACTCCATCCTAACAATAAGTAAAAAGCTGAAAAGACTGAAATCAACAACCCTCCTTGGATCTGTAAGAGAGGGGAGGACACGGGGTAAACCAGTGGCCACAAGCCTGGACAGAGTACAGGGAGTCATGTCTTAATGAGAGCAGAGACTCACCAGCAAAACCCCCTGTAGGAACCAGTGCAGGGTAAGACCGGAACTGTAATTGACAAATTCTGGAGGCTTAGAGTGGAGAAGTCTGAGAGTTAAAGACACCAGTGGAGTGAGGAATTTTCTCAACTTGGTAAAGACGATCTGCAAAAAACTGCAGCTAACATCACACTTAATGGTGAGAAACTCAGTTTCCCCTCTAAGATCACGTACAAGGCAAGGATGTCCCCTCTCACCACTGCTTTTCAACATGGTGCTGGAAGTCCTTGCTAATGCAATAAGGCTAGAAAAAAATTAAAAGATATACAGACTGGGAAAGTAGACACAGAACTGCCTTTATTTGCAAATGACATGACAGTCTATGTAAAAAATCCAAAAGAATTGACAAAAAAAATTCCTGGAACTAATAACCAGGTATACCAATGGGATTCCAAAATCTGTCTGTGTTGCTGGAGTATAGAGAAGAATCTGAGACTTCCAGCTATGAAGACAAAAGACCTTCTTAGAAATAGTCGAATCTTGTTACAATACACTGGCATTTTAAAATTTTTTATATTTTAAAAATAATTTGATAGCCAGAACATTGGTACACACTGGCCTTTACACATGGCCATGAGACTTGCCCAGCTTTGGAGGTCTCTATTTAAATAACAATTCATGACTGCAGGCTAAAGTCAAATAACTTTTTAAAATCAATTGACTTCCCATAAATTTTATTATAGGCCAAATACTCCTAGCTTATGAACCTGGAATTACAAAGATTATGACACTGTGGAACCTCAGCTAGCTTACATGCCAGCTATTCTTAGCAGCTGTCTTTGATTTCCCCTCCCTGAAACACTGATTCTTACAGCATCAGCACTGTGACCTCTGGCCTTTTCTATACCTCTACTATTCAGTGAGTTCCTAGAAAAGGTCTGAGGATGCAGAGAGATCACAGGTAGCCACAGATCACTACGCGGAAGTCACTGCAGAAATCAATATCCACGTGTCTGAAGCTGTTTACTGAGCCTTCCCCATGCCACACACGCATTAACTCACAGGATTCTCAGAGCAACCCTCCAAGGAAGCTACTACTAACATTCTCATTTTCCAGAGGAGGAAACTGAGGTTTAGAAGTTAAATGACTTGTACAACGGAATAGCTGGGATTCAAACCCAGGTAATCTAACTCTGGAGTTGTCACCCTAAAGGATTCACACTGTTGAAGAACTCCATAAAGAGACAATGGCAAGCCCCTTAATAAAAGGCAAAGTATACCTGTACTACGCTAAGTAGGAAAAGGTGGTCTGGTCATTCCTACCTCTTCTCCGTCACATCTGGCCACATCATACAGCAATCACTGTCATTCACATTCAGAGTCTGCTGAGTGGCCAGAAGTTGGCAGGTGTCACTCATTTAATAAAAGTGAGCCATCACCTTTTTATTCTTATATATCATTCACATTTGAAAATCTTTATTAACTAACAGCTATTTCTATGATAACCAAAAGAATGAAAAAAAGTTTATAAACATAAAATTTTTATGTTACAGGTTTTAACATTTCACTAATTAATACCAAAGCCAGATAAACTTTTTTAATGTATAAACAGAACCCATTCTATCCATTTTACAATGAATACATTTATAAAGAGCCATCTTAGCACTATTCATATTTAGTTTTTAAATAGCATTTATGAAACAAATAGGCAGTTATCCACATAAAGTATCATTTGATGACCCGCAAATGTTGTCTACCCAAGATGAAACTTTAAGACTTTCTAGCTGTTCATGTCTTTTAAATACACTTGTCTCAAAGCTCCTGTTGGGTCAGTCCTAAGCACTATTAACCCCACTGTTTTCTGCACCCTGTAACTCACTTCACATTCACTCCCACTTTGGTTCCACTATTGCCTAAGTCCGCTGAGGCCTTTTAAGCCATGTTTAGCCAAAATGACTGGAGTGTAAGGGCATGAAATCAATCTTGTTAGTCTATTGTTTACTTCAATATCTTTATCAAACTTTCTGTGCTACCTTCACCTCATTGATAAAAATATATATGCTGATTTCTGTTACACTGAAAAATTACAATACTTATCTTAGGTTCAATGTCTACCACATAATAGTTGTAGATTAAGAACAAAAAGGCAAAACTTTTTATTTTAAAATACCATTGTTTTTGACACAACATTGTAAAATGACTATAACTCAATAAAAAAAGTTTAAAAAATAAAATCTAAAATAAATAAATAAAATACCATTGTTATATTAGCAAGTACTCTTGTTCATAGGAAATATACACATTGAAATATTCAGGAGTCTCCAACTCTGTCAAATGGGTCAAAAATAATAGTTATGTATATAAAGACAGAGGAAAGAAAGCAAAAGTGGCAAATGTTAGTAACTGGTGAGTCTGGCTGAGGGTACATATATGATCTCTGTACTCCAATTTTTCTGTAAATCTGAAAATTTTTGAAATTTAAAAATGAGGAAAAAATCACAAATTTAAGCATTCCAGACCATTTGGGGGCCGACCCCAGCAGCAAATTGTACCTGATTTATTTTTCATTACATTGATTAGAAGGAAACAGCTTTTAAACAACCAGCATTTAGACGACTTCAGTAAAGCACTGCGGACAGTGTTACTGTTTAATTATTAATCCTATGGTAGTCTACAGAAGGTAATGAACCGTGTCACCTGTTGGTTAAAATTACTGTTTTGCTTAAATACGCTGTTTTTTCTGAGTTACAGTACAAATCTTAAACAGAAACAAAAACAAAAAACAAAAACCAAAACCGTGATATAGGGAAAGGACTCTCAATATCCCAGACAGTAGGAACTGAGGATTTTATTGGATAATCACAAGGCAGTTTCCCACCTGGTAATAGCTGGCTTTGGCCTCCATCATCAGCTGCTGGGTCGAGATCATCTTTTTCCTGCGTTTACACTCTTCCTTGAGTAACTTGATCTGTCCCGCCTGCTTGGAAAGGAGCTGCTTACTCTGCTCGCAGTCGGCCAGGCTCAGGAGCAGCCGCTCCTCCAGGCTGTGCAGCTGCGAGGTGAGGAACTCCTGCGAGTGCAGCAGGTACTCGATGGTGAGCTGCGCCAGGCGGATGAGCTTCAGCAGCACCGGGTCCACCCCCGACTGGCAGTGCGGGCACTTCTCGTCCTCCAGCTTGCAGAAGGTGATGTTCACGATGTTCTCCTGCAGCGTGAGCACGTCCACGGCGCCCGCCACCTTGTCCACGTCGATGGCGCTCAGCCGCCGCCAGTCCACGCTCTCCAGGCGCGGTCGGAACTGGAAGAAGGGCAGGGGGCCCGAAGCCGCGCTGGGCGGGGCACAGGCCATGGCGGCCCCGCCTGCGGGGGCGGCTGCGGAGGCATAGGGACCCTCCAGGCCGCTGGCGAGCGGGTAGTACACGTGCTTCTGAAAGGGCTGTTGGATGGAGACCAACCAGAGTGAAAGGGGGAGCTGAGAATCCCGTGGAGCCCCTGCCACTCCCAGCCCAGAA